GCCCCCGCGCCTGCGCAGTGATCTCCAACTGGCCTCGAGCGCCCCGGCGGGAGGTAAGGGGCTTACAGGAGGCTGCTGGGGATGTCGGACCCTGACTGGCACCCGGGGCAGGGTGCTAGCCCCGCGCGAGGAGAGCAGCTGGCGGGAAGCCAGGCCTCGGCTCGGAAGTGTGAGCCCAGTGGGGGCTCCGTCTGGGGCCCAAACCGTCAGAGCGCCGGTCGGTTTCGGTTTTGGAAGAGCTGTTCCGAGCGGGTGCAGGGAGGCCGCAGACCGTGCGAGCGTGATGGCTTCCCGGGTTGCGTGTGGAAAAGTTTCCGGCGCCTCCCCGCGGCTGGCGCACTGCGGGCCCCAGGCCCCTGGGTCTCGGTCCGGGCCTGCCCTCCCGGCTGTGTTGACAGACAGCGTTTGGGGTGTGAGCCCAGGTGTGCAGTAGGAGACAGACTTGAGGGCTGACGTCGGCGACGTTCGGAGTACCGAGGGGGCGGGAGCGGGAGGCCGCGGACTCCGGTCGGCCGGCCTGAGAGCTGCGTCGCCGGCCTCACCCGAGCGCCGACCCCCTAAGCGTCGAGCTCAGGAGAGCGCACAGTGGGACCAAGGGCCTTGGCTTTCCTCTCCAGCTTTTCGTCCCTTGTGTCAGAAACACAAAAGATGAGCCTGAGGAGTGGGCGCCACCAACACGCCCACACTTGGCACCTCTGGGTATTTGTTTGAGGCGGCGGTGCTGCTAGCGACTTCGGACTTTTTCTGGGAAATAGGGCCTTTCTTTTATTTTCGTAACTATGAGTACGTTCTCCTCAACCCCCCCCCCCATCAGGAACATATATGTCATATTAGTGTTAGCGTTAGAGGACAAAGTTTATAAAGTGCCTGGCACACTTCTGGCGACTCTTCATTGTGAATATTAGTGCAGTGAAAATGATTGACGCTTTTGACTTATAAATGTTTCTTTTTAGTTCTTTGGCGGAGGATGTAGGGGGTCTCGGTATGTAGTTCAGGCTGTCTTTGAATTCACTATGTATCCCAGGATGGCCTCTAACTTAATTCTGCCTCAAGTCTCCCTAGTGCTGGGATTGCAGATGTGTGCCACCACATCTGGTGAAACTTTTAATTCTTGTACATTACAACAACTTATGTTGAAGTGTTTCACAGTTAAGTTTTTTAAAGTAATGGAGAAATCTCAGCTTCCATTATTGTTAACATTGTACATACCGTACTACAGTTATCAAAAGCAAGAAATTATCAATACTGAGTGTTTTAAAATTTCATCTTATTTATTTGGAATGTCCTTTCTGTTTTCTAGGGTCCAATCTAAGATCCTCATATTGCATTTACTTGCCATGGCGACTTCATGTCTTCCACATTGTGACAGCTCTTCACTATTTTCCTGTCCTTCTTGATATTTGCATTTTAAAGGGTACAAATGGTGCTTGTCCCATGACTTATCATGATTGGATTAATTTTATACATTTTTGTTAATACCGTAAAAGTATGTCTGGTCTTTTCAGTTTATCCCATTAGGGAACATGATATGACTTACTGCTTATGATATTAACCTTAATCACTTTGTTAAGGTGGTATCTGCTGAGATTTTCTAGGACCAAAGTACTATTACTTCCCAAATTTATATCTGGGAAAAAATTTGTAAACTAAACAAATATCATGTCTCTTCAAACTTTCCCTTCATAAATTTAGCATCCATTGTTGGATCTTGCCTTGTGTTCTAATCGTGATTTTCTATTTCCTTCATTCCTTCTGTACCTATTAATTGTAATGCTACTGTAAGGAAGAGCTGTTGATTTGCTCCATTTCTGACTTGTATTGAACTGTTGTACAAGTATGGACTCATAAAGGTTTATTGTTATTTTATTATTAATTTTATGTCTCAAATTGGCCTTATCTGGATAATTGGGAATTTTTTTCAGGTTGCTTTTTGTACTCTTTTGATAGGCCCCTCCTTTTTAGAGAACTTTCTTTCTGGCATTATAAGATGCACCAAACACCCCCACTGCCACCCCCTGGCCCAGTCCAGGAATCAGCCACTTCTCCAAGGACCTCTGATTTCTTTTTTTGGAAAAAGGTATTTGGAAACCAATATCAGTGCTGTAGGTGTGCGCATTACTATTGTGTTGTTAGGTTTTGTAGAGCCTGGGGGAAGACAGCAATGTATATGTATATACATCCGTGCATACATACAACAAGATCTCTATTTCTGTACTTACTGTGCAGTTTTAAGACACAAAAATTTAGCCCAATAACTGACTCTATTCTTTTTTTTATGAACAGAATATATTTATTGAGAGAAAGAAAGCTCCTGTCCAAGAGAGGGACAGGAGGGGGGCCCGAGCGGGTAGTTCCCCCTAACAGATTCTATTCTAACACCACTGGATTCATTATAGTTTTATCTCTCATTTGTAACTCTGGTAGTGAAAAACTGGAATTCATATTCCATGAAATATTTATTTGTTCAGTTCTTGTATATATGTAATTTTGTGATTTGTAACATATACCTCTGTGAGAAACACAGTGCTGGCATAATGTGTAGAATTTTTGTCTTTAGCCTTATTAATATTTAGTAAAAATATTGTTTTCTGTCTCCATTTATTTCCATGCTGTTATGCTAGTCATTTATAATGAGGTTAATTTTATTTTTGATAGTTTATATTTCATTTTGAGTTCCCTCCACATTATTTTTAAAAACTTTATAGCAGCATTTACTCTTTGTGGTATATAGTTCTGTATAGTTTTTTACAAGTACATATTGTGTATGTGGCATTATAGTCATAACAGGAGAATAATTCCATATACCAAATATTTTATCATATTTTTCAAATGTTAAAAAATATAATTTCACAGAAATTTGAAAATTAGGGCTGGTGAGATAGCTCAGTGGTCTAAAGCACCTGCTTGGGCAAGCTTAGGCAGATGCAGGGGACCACAGTTTGATCCCCAGCATCACATGCTGCACCAGCCCCACCCTCAGGGTGGGCTGAGTGGGCTTAATAAATAAAAATTAAAAAAATAAAAAAGAAATTTCAAAATTAAACATTTTTGTATATTTTGCTTTGCCCTTTTTAAGAATTTTACACAGGTAAGATCTCATTGTAAATATATTTTCCTCATGTTTTAATTATATCAGAAATATGTTACAGAGGTACAGGATCTCAGGATAAATCCTGAGGGGATTTCACTGACCTTCTCAGACCAAAAAGCTACAACTCTTGTTGCATAGGTCCTGCTTTACCTTGGTCTTAACCATCCAGCAGAAAAGTATAAAAACAAAGTAAGAAGTAAAGCCATGCTGTTATGTTGAGCTGTAGGGAACTCAGGTCAACAGTTTCTGACATTGCCAGTGAAGCGGAAGACCCCATACTACTATGGACTACTAGACTCTTTTAGAATATTTTGCTGAGTTTACACACCTATAATATTTAAATGATGGAACTTAACAAAAAAAGGGGATACAGATGAATGTCCATTTTTGTATCTGTGTATTCAAAGTGGTTAGGATAGATATATAGTTACATTCTCTTAATGAATAGAGGAATTTGTTCTAATAGTGTTTGTAAATAGGATATCAAGTCCACATCTTGTACAGCAATTAACCACTAGGAAGAATGTATGCAATGTGTTAATTATTGAAACTGTCCTACCAATTTGGTTTGAAACTGTCTCATTGCTATTTGTTTCTCAATAAAATTATGGGGAAAAAAAGAAAATGTAGGATTCTAGGTGAGTATCTGATGATTAAAGTTAACTTACAGTAAAAAAAAAAGTTACAATTTATGACCGAAAAATCTAGAAATTCTAAGCTATATCTTTACTCACTATTCAGTCATACTTCGCCCTTGCGCTTGCCAGGGAAGCACTTATTCTACTGAGCTATCTCCCTGGCCCTCAGTCACATACTTCTAAACCATGTTTTGATATTAGGTTAGTATCTTCCCATAACAGCTTACAAGCATTTGAGAAACTTATCCACTCCTAAACAACATTTTGTGTCCAAACATAATACATGCAGGTATTTGAATTTTTATCTTTTTTGTTGTTGTTTTAAAGATTCAAATTTAAATTTATTTTGCTATGAGAAAATAGAGTAACACAAATTTCCCATTTATGTGCAAAAAAAAGTTTCTGAGACAGGATCTCACTATGTAGCCCAGGCTGGGCATGGACCCCACCAGTCCTCCTATCTCAGCCTCCCACAGTGCTGGGATTACAGGTGTGCACCATCACCCGGGCTCATGATGTACAATTTTATTGGGAGCACCAGGTGAATGCAGAAAACTGCAGCTAGCTGAGCCATGCTGCCCCAGAATACAAAATCACACATGCATACCTTAGCATGTCAGCATCATGTGTTATGAGCCACACCCACATGCGTGTTCTGTTACCCCTTTCAAATTTCAGGTTAACTTCAATAGAGACTCATGAAACTTTCTCTTATCTCTTCTTCCACAAGCAAGCTTTGGGTCTTCCTCAAGATAAAGTGCCACATTTATTATCCTACTTACAAATTTCTTAAGCATTGACATGTAAAACTATGCTGTGATTTTGATTGGATTTTATCTTTTTTTGACTGATTAGATTTTTTAAACGTTGTATCCCTAACTCCATTTTTACCATAAGTCTTGTGGTTGTTTTTCATGACTTTACAAAGCAGGAGTCTTAGGAACACACTTACCATGTTCTAACAGATCTGCTTCACAAGGATTTCAGCTGAGTTTCAGAGTGAGCAAGAAAATGATGTTTTCAATTTGAAATGGAGTGGTGATCCAGCACTCCCAGACTACTGTCTGTGGGAGAGGCAGATTCCCTACATAGAAGAATGAAAATTTTATTATAATTTTGTAAAAGTAGAAAATAGTATGGAAAAAATTAAATACTGGCTAAAAGAATAAAAGTTGGAAAAGTCTTTGGGAGGTTTATGGGGCAGATTCTCTTCCCTGAGAAATTATTCTTGTTGAGGGAGAATGTTTCCCTTGTTATCTGTAAAACTCAGGGTCAGAGGCATGTGTAATTCTGATCTGGAAAAAAAAAATCGGAATCCAGGAAAGCAAGCTATAAGGTAACAACAAAAATAAGTGGAATATTTAATAATAAACTAGGAAATGTTAATGTTAGACAAATAATTGATACATTATTATATAATAGACTCTTAGAAATTAGCACACAATAGAAGTACCCTATAGTAAAATTGATGTATAGTATGAGCAGACGATTCATGAAAGAAAAGAAGTAAATGGATAAGAAATAAATTCTATTAGTAATTTAAGAGATTAAAATTAAAGCAATAGATCCCCCCAGTCAAATATTTAAGAAAAATAGAAACACCCAATAAATTTGTAGGAACATGAATAAGTGGACATGGTGATGATTTGCAGGTGGGTATATAAATCAGCATACTGTTGTGGAACATTTGACAATATGTACATTGGAAAAAAAGTGTGACTATTTAATATTTCTAAGTATTTAAAGTATTAGGTGGAATTATGGATATAGGTGTAAGAAAAGTAATTACATTAGAATTTATAATAATGGAAAGTTAGATCACTTTTAATAGCAAAAATATATGATTAAATTATGAAACATGTATATAGTATAATACTGTGCTGCTACAAACAGTTGTAAATAGAAATTTTCTTATATTTAATCAATATTAAAAGTAGTCCTTCAGCCAGGCATGGTGGCTCATGCCTGTAATCCCAGCACATGGGACACTGAGGCAGGAAGATCTTTGGGAGTTCAAGACCAGCCTGGACTACAAAGTGAGCTCAACATCACCCTAAATTGTATAATGAGACCCTGTCTCAAAAAAGACAAAAGGGTTGGGGAGATAGTTCAGTGGCATAAACGCTGCCTAGCAAATGTAAGTTCCCAAGTTCTATCCCACTGCATGCTGTGGTGATGCAAGCCTGTAATCCTAGCAATAAGGAGGCTGAGATAGGAGGATCACTAAAGAGTCCAAACCACATAGGAAGACCCTGTATAAAAAAAAAAAAAAAAGACAAAAATAGTCCTTCACCATTCCACCCCTTTGGATTTACTTTTTGTTATTGATAATATGTTGGTAGTTTTTTTAAGGAGGGGCTCAGTAGTCAACTCTCTTAGTTTTTGTATGTCTGAAAATGATTATTTTATCTTCCCTGTAAATGATAACTTACATGTGGTTTTTCTGACTCCTCAGCACTTTGAAACTATTCCTGTTTCTCTCTCTCTCTCTCTCTCTCTCTCTCTCTCTCTCTCTCTCTCTCTCTCTCCTCTCTCCTCTCTCCTCTCTCCTCTCTTCTCCTCTCCTCTCC